ACCTTTGTCCCAGTCTCTTTTTTAAAGTGTGTGCAATTCAGTTCTCTATCCCCTCTTGCAATGCAAGTTGCAGTTCCCCTTTTCTAGTTGCTTGAAAAGTTTAAGTTTTAGTTGATTACTAAGGCCAAGGCATTTTCCCTTAAATTGTAACATTTTGATTTTCTTCTGGTTATCTTATAATTTTTAAACTTCGAATGTTCAACACCAGCTGAGGTTTGCACAGGACACTGACAACACAATGCCCAGACCCCAGGGTCAAGAGAAAAACATGGCTACTGACAAGTTGAGACGCCTTGCTGCCCAGCTGTGTACACATGCACACACGGGCAGTCACTGAGCACCAGGGAGCCTTTTCCTGTAGTCCCTCAGCACTACCTTTAACATGTGCCCTCTGAGAAAGAGATATTTGCTGCTTTGTGGTCACTTCCATTTTTTTTCATAAGTAAATTGCTTATTGTTTTTAATGTTGTGAATTGGGGAACTAGATAATTTGTCCCCACATATCAGCTGGCTATAACTTCATTTCTCTCTGGCCTCAGTTACTAGCTCTATGATTTATGATGTAGATGCTCTTTGATGTGAGCTACTGTGAATGACACAGTTCAGCCGCAACCCTCAAGGCTGTGGGCTTTCGGCCACAACCCCTATTTTACACTCAAGTAAATGGAGTTTAGGAAGTCTTAAAAGAAACGCCAAAATCAAGCAAGGCACTGAAGATTCTGCTTTTCTACCCCCAAGGATTCCTTTTTTTTGTGCAACAATGACAACACCACAATTATGTTGTGAATTGTGCCTATTCTTTCCATAATATTGACAAATTGCATCTACCATCACCAGTTTGGGGGGAAAAAAACGAATGGTGTGTGCTGGAGGGAAGTAGAGGTAAATATTACAGAGACATTTAAGTGTTGTCTTGGGGACTTGGTCTAGGAATGACAGAATCCAGCAGCTCCTGAGAGGACAGCTGAGCCCAGCTTGGGGGAACTTGGGGGTCAGGGCACAGAGTGAGGTGCTGTTATAGGCATGACCCTCCAGCCAGGAGAGGGGGGCATGGGGGAGGTCAGCGCAGCAGAGCCAATGCAGAGGGAGCAGCCTGTGCTGCGTGAAGGCCCCAAGGCAGGCAAAGTGTGTGTTCAAAGAATACAAATAACAGCAATGTTAGGAGCCTGGGGAGGGGCTGGGAGATGAAGTCGGAGTAGGCAGAGTGAGATCATGGGCATCTGAAGCCTTGGCAATCACACATCCCAGGCTGATTGGATCTCCTCTCCAGCAGCTGTATCAACTTTTCAGATGAGTGGCATCTAAACCACATTTCTCAGGTTGCCTCTTACACCTGGACAGCACAGAGATGCTTTGCCAGTCCCAAAAAGAGGAAAAATGTTGAGATGCCCATCTCCTCTTCTTCAACAGACCCCCTGGCAGAGCTTGCCCAGGCCTTGAAGGATACGATCTGCTAATTCCCCTCTTCTCCCAGTTCTTAAAGATAAGGCTCCAGAATGAAGGAATGTTGACTCAGCCACTCACCAACTCTGGACTAGTTACCTGAACTTGATTTCCTCATCGGTGAAAGAAGAAAGCATTGGGGGACTAGCAAGAATTAAATGGAGCGATGTTTGGAGCATGGCACCTTGCAAGGACGCAGTACAGATTGGCTATCACTGCAGCTGTTGCATTCGATCCCAATACAGTTGCTGGCCCAGTGCACACGGTCCAGATAGACATCAGCAGGGACTTGGAACCCTGTTACTCCTGGAGCCCCACTTCACCTTCCATGATTTATCATTTAGACCTTTCATTATGCAAAGCAGCCAGCTCACACTGACCACTCAAATGCATATTATCTCTAATAATGATAACAAAAAACCACCAACATAAAACCCACATCCATTGTGTGCCAGGCTTTGTACTAACTGCTTACATGGATTATTCTATTTAATCCTCACAGTATCCTATGAGCTGGGTGCCACCCTTGTCCCCCATTCACAAAAGAGGAAAGCAGAGCCCTGAGGGATGACGTAGCTTGCCCAGGGTCACACAGGTAGAAAGTTCGTAGAACCGAGATTTCACCCAAGCATCTGACTCGAGCTCACCCTCTTAAGCTGGGTATTTAGTCTTCAAATCAGTGAATACTTATGGAGCACCTGTTGTATTACAGTCTGTGTTAGGATATGAGGCAGAGATATATACAGACAGCTAACTGTTGGGGTAAATAGCAGTGCTGCCCCCACCCCACCCCCGTGCCAACGTGCACACACACACACACACACACACACACAAATTTCATGTCAATCCAGAACCTGTGAATATGACCTTATTTGGAAATGGGGTCTTTGCAGATCAAGTTGAGATGAGGCCATACGGGATTAGGTTGGGCCTTAAAGCCAATGACCGGTGTCCTTATGAGAAGAGAGAAGCTCAGAGCCACACACGCAGGGAGCAGGCCACGTTAACAGCAGAGGCAGAAACTGGAGTAGCGCTGGCAGCCACCAGAAGCTAGGAGAGGGGCGTGGAAGGGATTCTTCCTCAAAGCTTCCAGAAGGAGCCAATCCTTCCGACACCTTGATGTAGAACTGCCAGCCTCTGAACTGCGAGAGGATAAATATGTGTTGCTTTAAAGCACCTAGTTTGCCACAGTTTGTTTCAGCGGTCCTAGGAAACCAACACACTAATAAAAAGGAGGCGATACAAAAGATACCTTCTCCAGTCACCCTTAGACTCTGCCACTAAGAGTCCTTGTCCGAAAGTTACGGTTCCCCACTGGCAGTGAGCAGGCCGGGGGAGAAGCCAGCAGTGAATCAACCTGCGGCCTCACAGGAAGCCTGCTTTCCTGTCAACAAAGCACAGAGTGAAAAGCTGTCAACACCAGACCAGAGGGCCGCCTGCCCGGCCCCCTCTGTCACAAGGCTCAGACGGAGGGAGTGTTTTCATCAAGGGGAGAAAAAAATAGGGGAGCCCACCAAACTGCGTTTGCATCTGGTCCCGGAGATGCCCTTTCTGCTCAGGGTAAGAGCGCGCTGGTGGGGACAGCTCCTAAGAGGATGTCGGGGCCTCTCAACTCTCGGTTCAAATAATGAGCCGGGTGTTTCCCCACAAAGCTCTGGACACCAAAAGCAGATGTTCTTAGGGACTTGGCAACCCAGCTCCCTTTGAGGGGCTGGTAAGTGCTATTGATGAACTCTCGCCCCAGAAAAACGTTCTGACCAACAAACTTAGGAGTGACTCTTCAAGGCATCTTGAACCCCTCAAGTCCGCTTATCGATGAGCGAATACTTATGAATTGCCTACTATGCACCAGGCACTGTGCTGGGCACTGGAAGTACAAGGGCGGAGGAAGAGACAAAGCCTTTCACTTCCTGAAGCCCAGAGCGAGAAGGAAGCTGTATGGATTTCCAGGGGGCTGCCGGCGCGAGGACCCCAAATGAGAGCGTTGCAATGACAGCAGCTTGCCCCCTCGCAGTTCAGGAGGTGAGGAGGGTGAGATCACAAGGTGAGGAGGATCCTGCCCGCGCCTCCCCGCCGGCTTCGCAGGGTCGCCCGCGTCCTCGGCAGCTCGGCTGGGAGGCGCATCAGTCCGTCCGCTGCCTCCAGCCTCACGTCCTCTTCTCCTCTGCGCGTCTCGCTGTGTCCCCTCCTCTTGTCATGAGGTCACTACCGCTCAGTACTGGGTTTAAGACCCACCTAAATCCAGGACGACGTCATCAAGATCTCTAACTAAGGACACGTGTGAAGACACTACTGCAAGGTAAGGTCATGTTCTGATGTTCCAGGAGGCCAAGAATTCGGGAGACACTATTCAGTCCAACCCGGGCACCCAGAGGATCAAACACGCACCACGGAGAGCAGCAAGGGCGAAGGCAGATACACCGGAGCACCTGCGAAAGCCTTCCTGGGACTTCTTACGGAATCGGGCCCCGAGCGGTGGGTGGGAACTGACAAAACGGAGGAAGCGGAAAGGACAGTGGGAGGGGTGAACCCCACAGGGGGAGCCCAAGTGAGGGGGCAACTGTCGGAGGGCCGAAAGGGCCACGCAGGGCCGTGGTGTGGAGAATGGGCTGGGCTTGTAAGCTACTGTTCGCATTTGATCCCTAGGACCACAAAATGCCTTTGAAGGATTGGAAGCAAAAGTGTTTCTAGAAAGTTCACTCTGGCTGAGGCGAGGAGGATAGACTGGAGTGGGTGAGACCAGATGCAGGGACCCCAAGGGTCCCTATCTCAGGGGAAGTGCCCGGCTTGAGGATGCAAGTGGCTAGAACAGTGGAGATGCCCCCCGTGTTGTCCTAACCAGCCAGCTGGAATGATTCACACCGAGCCCAATGGAGGACTGCAGGCCAGTGCAGATGGCATCTGAGCTGGCCAGCAGATCAGCATCAGGCCGAGAAGGAAACCCAGAAGTCTGGAAGCCCTGATATGTGCTCTCTATCTAAGCAGGGAAACAGGCTGCACACGTGGACCAAAAAATTATAACCCTTTCAACCTGTTCAGATGCACACACCCCATCCCTTTCTGAGGTCCCTTTGGGTTGAGTGTGCCTGACATGGACCCATAAGCCTGTCCTCTCTGGCCTTCATGTGCCTCACTGACCCTCAGTTAGTCTTCAAAGGTCACCTTCTCCCTTGATTCTCAGACTGGGTTCCCTGCCCTCCCCCCTCAAAGACAAAAATTTCTGATGCAGGCTGGGCATTAGATTGTAGTTCCTACTTTCCTCTTAATCTATCTCTGCTACCAAACAGATAAGTACCTTGAGGGCAAGGATTTTTTCCCTGTTTGCCTCTGAATTCCCATCTCCTAACACACACACACTGAAAGATGTTATTGGGTGGACCAACAAATGGATGGATTTCTTCATAATACTGTACTGGCTTCAAGACAAGTCACTCAATCAATGATTAAATCGACACAGACCCATCAGTTGCTCTGTAAGTGCTTTACACTGCCACCTCCCCACAAGAGTCAGAGCAAGACATCCAGAGAAATGCTGGCTTGGCATCCTCAAGACTCACCTCATTCCTTCTGCAGCCATCTTATCAAGGTTGGCAGTGTCCTTCGTTTCTGCCCAGTTTGCTCCCAGGTCACCCCACCCCATGTCATCTGCCAAAATGATCACGAAATTTGGTCTCTGGCCTCTTGCTTCCCCACTGAAGCAGAAATCCACAAGAGGATAGAGACATCCCAAGAAACTCACCCCCACCAGCAAAACCTTTAGAAAAAGCCAGCCCATGGTGGGGAGGGGAGGATTCTGGTTGTCCAGGGTGGTGCTGGGCCACGGCTGGGGACTTTTCTGGGGGCTCCCTTTTGCTCAATGCTGGTAGTCCCTGGAGAGTAGTGGTGGAGTTTGCAAGAAGATGCTGGCGGTGGTGGTGGCGCCTATAGGGATGGAGACAGAAATGAGACCTTCTTCTGGAATCCTAATTCGAGAGAGTCAGGAAACATACAATCCCAAATTTTCTTTCCCTACAGCAGCTCCATAAAAGGACCAGCTGTGAGCAGCAATCAGACATCAGTGTCAACAACTGCTCTTTGGCCACTTAGAAAATGACCTCTCTGTGCTCCAGGACGTTAGAGCCAAAGCACAAGGCTTGCATCTGTTCAGGACTCCAGCTGGCGAGTGCAGGATAAATTCTCACATCTGCAAAACACCTGGAGGTTCTAGAAGCCGCAGTCAGCCGCGAATGAGTTTCTGAGCTCCAGATGGTTGAGCGCTTCATGTTTCTGTGAGGTTTCCTGAAAGAACAAAAATTGACAAGAAAACAGAGTCCAAAATGCCAGTGCAGCTGTGTTTTACTCAGTAGCTTAGGAAATAACCACTTTTCCATGCCAACACATGTTTTCCTTCTTATTTGAATATTTAACTGGTTCATCAGTTTCTCCACCTGAGAAATAATGATGATGATAATATTTGCAATGAACCTATAATCATAGGGTTGGGAGACACATTAGAGATGATATCACTGCACCCACTCACCTTATTGATGAGAATTCTGAGGCCCAGTGTCCTGACTAGGGCAAGGACCAGCACCCAACCCTACAAAATCCAGGTGCCCCCAACTCCCATCCCACCATGCTTATCTGATTCATAAGAAATTCCCAAACTAATTGTGACCTGATCAAACCCACTGAGAATTCTAGAAGAAAGAGTGAGACCTTATTACCAACACATGATTCTTTCCAATGGTCATGCTGTAAACTAATATTTCTTTTTTTTAAGTTTTTTATTAAGGTATTATTGATGTACACTCTTATGAAGGTTTCACATGAAAAAACAATGTGGTTACTACATTCACCCATATTATCAAGTTCCCACCCATACCCCAGTGCAGTCACTGTCCATCAGTGTAGTAAGATGCCACAGATTCACAATTTGCCTTCTCTGTGCTACACTGTTTTCCCCGTGACTCCCCCCGACCATGTGTACTAAACATAATACCCCTCAATCCCCCTCTCCCTCCCTCCCCACCCATCCTCCCACACCCCTCCCCTTTGGTAACCACAGTCCCTTCTTGGAGTCTGTGAGTCTGCTGCTGTTTTGTTCCTTCAGTTTTGCTTCGTTGTTATACTCCACAAATAAGGAAAATCATTTGGCACTTGTCTTTCTCTGCCTGGCTTATTTCACTGAGCATAATATCCTCCAGCTCATAAACTAATATTTCTATATAAAATTCTTGATGAAAGTTAACAAAAAAAAGTTAATAGTAGCATCTGGGTGGATAATATATATGGGTGCTCACTGTAGAACTCCCAATTTTGCTAAATATTTGAAATTTTCAAAATAAGATGTTAGAAAAAAGTTTCAAAGAAAATGTTTCAATGGAAATGTGTCCCTTTACATCTTGACAATGTAATTTTTAAGAAAATTAAAAATTAAGACATGCTCAACCACTGCTTCTCACACTGGATGTACATATACATCACCTGAAGATCTTATTTAAATGTAGATTCAGTAGATAAGGCTAGGGCTTGAGGTATGTATTCCTAACAAGCTCCCTGGTGAGGACTAGTCTTTGTAGTCTTTGGATCGCACTTGGAGTAGCAAGGTGCTTAGCAAACAAAAACATTGTGCTTTTGGTTCTAAAAGAAAACTAACCTACCTAGAGATGGTTAGTCTGACTGGTGCTTAACCTCACTGGAGATAATTCAGCTTCAATGGACAAACAAAAAGCAGTAAGTCAGGTTGAATTATGAAAGACGGGAATTGAAGGTTATGCGTGCAAGTGTGGCTTGCAAGTGGGAAGCACAGAAGTAAAGCATATTGCCCCTCATTCACGTAAAAGCCTTGACTTTGCAAGGTTAGAAAGGAGACACAGACTTGAACGTCTGGACCAAATAAAAACCTCAGGTGAACACCCAACCCATGGAAGAGATTAAAGGAGAAGCACTTTGTAATATATAAAGATGCTACTATGGCTGGGGTTACACATGATGCTATTTCCAGTTGTGCATCCCTGTCCTTGAGGAAGGAACGCACAGCTGATAAAGCTGGCCGGCCAGCCCGTGGCTAACACAAGTGCATGGGGGTGGTTGGAGGTATGTAAATCCTGGAAGACCTAGATAAACTTAAAAGGATGGGCAAATACATACTTAATCAAAATAAAAGGAAGTCCAAGTAAACAGTCACGGTCATCTGGAGGCCAATGAATCAATTGTTCAGAAATGCAAATTCTTCCGTTTTCCAAAAGGAGAGTTATTATTTCAAACTCAATCAGATTCAACTGGTATTTGTTGATCTTGAGGCCCGGAAGACTTTCCCCTTTCTAGAAGAAAGAGGCTGCACAAGGAGGCTGCCTAACCAACAGTTGTTGACATGCTGGTTGATTCCCAGCCTCATTCTACTGGTTTCTAACCATGAGCAACAATCATAGGAGACTTTTCTTCCTAAAGCTACTTAGCTTGGAACAGTAGAGTGGTCTCATTCTTCATCAATAATCCACTTTGGAATGACCCAAAATGAAAGACTTCAGGGAAAAATATGCACATAAGAAAAAGCTAAAATTAAGGTAGTAACATAAATAAACAGATTGTTTTTCTTAAGAGTTCCATGATAAAACATTCCTTTGAGGATTTTCAAAGAGACTCATTCACTTAAATTTTTACCAAATGGAAATAAGCTAATTTAGCCACTACACCATTACATTATCCTTCATGCCCATACCTCCAGGGAGACATATAATCCTTTCCCCATTTATTTTTTTTTAACTACAGTAAAAAGGCAAATCAGACATTCAAAGGCTGGACTCTGAGCAAGCCATGGACTTTGATTAAGAGTCAAGCTGACATTATGGAAAACAGTATGGAAGTTCCTCAAAAACTTAAAAATAGAATGACTACATGATCCAGCACATGGATGTAGGTATATATCCAAAGGAAATGAAATCAGGATCTTGAAGACATATTGGCACCCCCATGTTTATTGCAACATTACTCACAATAGCCAAGATATGGATACAACCTAAGTGCCCATCAATGAATTAAATAAAGAAAACGTGCTGTATAACTAAATAAATAAAATAAGAATATGTATGTATAATTTAGCCTTAAATGGAATATTATGTAGCCTTTAAAAAGAATGTTCTGCCATTTGCAACAACCTGGGTGAAATTGGAGGACATTATGTTCAGTGAAATAAGCTAGGCACAGAAAGACAAATAGTGCCTGATCTCACTTATATGTGAAACTGTTTAAAACAGACAAACTCATGGAAGCAGAGCATAGAATGGTGGCTGCCAGGGACCGGTCATGGGGCAGGGGGGACAGGTTGGCAAACATGAGCAAAGAGCACAAGCTTTCAGTTACGCAGTACTAATAACTTCTGGGGATCTAATGTTAACAATAGTGATTAGCGTGGTGACTAGAGTTGACAATGCTGTATTGCATGCTTGAAATTTGCTAAGAGAGGAGACCTTCAATTTTCTCTCCACAAAAAATTAAAACAGTATTATGTAAAGTGATGGATGTATTAATTACTTTGATTATGGTAATCATTCATAATGTATGTGTATATCAAAACATCACCTTGAACACAATAAATATATATAATTTTTATTTGTCAATAAATTGGGGGAAGTTTTTCACAAGATCCAAGCTGAGACTTTGAGCTCAGTATCTTATCTTTCTCTTTCTGCCTCACCCTGCACCTCCCAGAAGGGAGAGTGAACACAGGCATGGAACCCTCAGGTGGGCTAAGAAAGAAAAGGGGAGTCTTTAGCAAATAAAGTTTTCAACTCTCCTTCCATGGGGTTCCTTGACCACCTTACTCAACAAACCCCACAAGGAGTACCCATCCGTTCTATTGGGGCAGAACTGAAAGGGAGAGATCCTTGCTGAGCACGAGTATGAACCACTGCTCATGTCTCTGTGCTCCCCAGCTATCAGTAGACCTTAGCTGCCAACCAGCTTTGCAATGACCTGCGTTCTCTACGATCCTAGGGTAAAGCAAGGCTGCTGGCTCTGCTAAGGACAGGCCTCCCTTTAGGTTCTGGGCTTGCTTATGGGTAAAGGCACTCATAAGCAGCAGAATGACCAACAGGCAGGCTGCTGGCCAGAAGGGCTGAGAATCAAACGAGATGGGGCAACCTGAAGATGCACTTTGCAGAATCTGAACACCAGGGCTGGAAGTCCATCACCTGACCCAGCTCCCCATGGGCCTCCCTGTGGCCAAGCAGCTTGCTAGAGGGCATCGAAAACAGCTGAAATAACAAGAAGGTCGGGCAGACCTTTTTGGCAGAGGGCTCTGTTGGTTTTCCAGAGACAAAGCTTCTGATGAGCTGAGGCCAAAAAAGACAAAGGAGCAGGGGGAGTGTGATCTCTGGTTGCAGAGTAATGTTGTTTTAACCGCCAAATCAGAACACGGTGCGCTGGCTGGGGCCAGGAGTCACACATCTGCGAGATGGGGCTGCCAGGAGGGGCCCAGGGTGCCAGCTGCCCACATGTGGACTGAAAAGATTCCCCGGTGCATTGTCATCAGTAGGGACCAAGGGCAGGCTGCCCCAAGATGTGCCACTGTGACATACAGATTATCTGAGCTGGAAACCATCAACCCCAAAGACTCAGGAAGACGCTTTGACCTCCCACCCCACAACTGCATAAAAAGAATTCAGCTGGGGGAACCACCCCAAAAGGAGAGCTGCCACCATAGAAGCTATATGATAATGTGAACTTGGGGTGGTGGACAGGGAGGGATTGTGGCTAAGAATGTTACAATGCCTCTCTGCACCCCATTGTTTCTGTGGGGCCCATCAAGAGTTTTGTTTACCAAGCATTCAGTCTTTTCATACTCCTGAGAATTACTTCCCTTTTCCTTTGAAGTCTTAGACCCCTACCCGCTTCTCCTTGGTTCAGGAGGGCGTACATATCTCATTCTCCCTGACTCTCTTTGGAACCCATGGCTATGACTTCCCTTTAGGTACATAATTAAGCTTTGGCTTTTTTCTCCTATTAACCTGTCTCATGTCAATTTGATTCTTAGACAAGCTAGAAGAACATCAAGGGATAGAGGAAATTTCTTCCTCCCCAAAAGCTGGTGTAGTCGGCAGGATACTTAACTTCCTGGACATTGCTCACTCACAGGCTGCTGCAACTGAGAGATTCCAGGACATCGGGCAACAGCCGGCAGGAGGGAAGGTTTCTTACCATGTCAGCCTTCTGGAATCTCTGTCTGCAGGGTCTGATGGACTGAGACTGGTGACACTCTTTAAATTTGCATGAACAGGAGAAAATGTTGCAGAACT